TTTTTAATGGGTCGAGTTAGGTGGGTGGATCACTAAATGGTTTAAATAGTATTTTTATTTTTTAAAAATTTTGATTTGTTATATAAATAATTAATATTAATAAATTTTAATTAAAAACAATTTAATAGATTGAGTGACTTTTTGAGGAAAGTGTGGATAGTTGAGTGACTTTTGAATTAAAATTCAAAGTTGAGTGATTATCTGAGAAAGAAGTGCATAATTGAGTGACTTTTGAGTGAAAATTAAAAGTTCAGTGAGTTTCTGAGAGAAGAGTGCATAGTTGAGTGTCATCTGAGGTATTAACTCGCACAATGTACTACTTCTAATGTTAGATTAATGTTAAAATATATTTAAAACCTTTTTTTTCTCTAAAATATGTACAGATCAATATTTTATATTTATTTTATTGAGCTAAATGACTTAATATTCCCCCAGCCCGTCAGTAGCAAAAACTAAATAGGGCAACAAATCCCTCTTTGCGGTACTGAAAGAGCTGTGGCCGGTGAGTTTATCCCTCTCTCTCGTCGGAGAGACGAAGAAGATAACATACAGAGAGAGAGAGAGAGAGAGCGGAATGGGACGAGAAGGAGATTGGGAGTGTAGTAGCTGCGGTAATAAGAATTATGCCTTCAGATGTTTCTGCAATAGGTGTAAGCAGCCTCGTCTCCTTGTTGACAACAAAACTCCTCATGATTCAAAGTGGTTTCCTCGAATTGGCGATTGGATCTGCACTGGTATGTATCTTTCTGAGTTTGTATCTGTTTTTTCAATTCTTTGATTGATTGTGAAAAGTTAGGAAATTTTGTTAGTTATATGTATGTGAACTTACTGATAGATGCTGATAGAGGTGATGTAGGAGTTGGATTTTAGTTGATAAGCTTGTGTAGCCAGTTTGGTCAAGCTATTGAAATTGGTTCATTTTGTGAAGTGTTACCTCAAGGAAGTACTTTTGATGAGAAATGGAAGCTGAGTTCCTGCTCATGGCTCATGTAATAAGCTACCCGCCAAGTAATTAGAAGTGTAGGCCAATTAGTTCATAACCGAGTTTTACCCACGTGTGAAAGAGTGGGTGCACGTGTACCCGTTAACATGTGTATATACTTGATTAAGGATCGTATAATTAAATGCGCACTCTTAAACACATAAGTTGAGTTGCTGCATTGGTCTAAAGCTATTCATTGCGCTTCTTCGCAACTCACAAGCACAGACTGCTGAGTTCGATTCTGGCTGTTGAATTTTCTCTTTTTTTGTCATTTTTTTTCAAAAAGACTTATTAAAAACCTCAAGCGGGATTTAGTTGATAAGTTTGACCAAATACTGTAATTTGATTCTCTAACAATCATTTATGATGTCAATATATGATACTTCTGAAATGGAGTGAAATGAGAGAAAATTGGGGCACTTGGATGAAAGGAGTAAAAGTTACTTTACTTAATGTGTTGGCAAGGATATTTAGTTGATAAGCATCTATATTCGGTTTGGTTAAGCTTTAAAATCTGTTCATTTTGGTGAGAAGACAGAAGTTAAGTTCCCTCTCATGGCCCATTTAACAAGCTACGCCAAGTAAAAAATGTTGAATAATTAGTTCATAAGGACTAATTGTATAACCATTCATCAGTTTCATAAGACAAGCAAATGACTGGGAAGTTGCAGAATTCCTTAACACTATTGGCTAGTTTAAAGGAACATAAGAAGGGGAAGATGAGCTTTGGTGGCAGTGCAGAGGCAAAGGAACCTTTAGGGTAGGCAAAGCATACAGATGGTTGAATACTCACAATCAACCAATTGTCAACTGGCCCTGGAAAACTATATGGAAAGCGAGTATACCCTACAAGGTATCATGTTTTATTTGGCTCCTACCTAAGGAAGTTGGTCTTACACAAAACAATTTGATGAAAAAGGGGATAATTTTATGAGAATAAAACACATTCTTAGTATATTAATACAAAATTTAGCATCCAACCTTTGTAAAGCCAATATGAGATGCTGATACTTACTGAAAAATAGAGTGCTTTGGAAACCAAATTGAAAGAGACCCGAATTACCATGAGGTCTCATGAACTACTACTACTAAATCAACTTTGATTTTGTTTTTTTGCGTACAATAACTTGAATTATACTATATATGCATATCATATAGTTCAAATAAATAAAAAATTTACATAAGATAAATTCTCAATTGAAAGAATACCAAAGTATTAGGATTCGTACAATTCAAATAAGTAAGTAATTAGTACATATAATTTCAGTTGATTTCAAAATACTAAATATAAGGAAAAAAGTAAATGAAATTTTTTGTCTATTGTTAAGTTTTTTAATGAGGCGCAAAGAATTCAATCAACATTTCTAAGGACTTCATGCTTTTAAAGTAATATATAAATTGGCTGCTTGCCATTTGTTTCGTGCAACATATTGCATTATTGGCTCTTTGGCTTTGGTGAGCTATGCACTTCCTGGTTATTTCTCTTCTTTTTTCTAACATACTTAGCTTTTTTGTACATCAATTAATTACCTATAAAGACAAGCCAAACAATGAGATTGAATATAGGGTGCTTTATAAGTGTATGTTGTGATTAGGCAAATTATAGAATCCAAATGAACTAAATAAAGATGATATTCATGAGCAAATTATAAACCAAAAGCTACTGATAATTGACTATTTTGAATCGTCTTTGCTAGATATTGTGGTGGACAAGATGAGGGAAGCGAGACTAAGATGGTTTGGACATGTGAAGAGGAGATTCATGCATAGACAAACTAGTGAGGAGGTGTGAGAAGTTGGGTATAAAGGGTACGAGGAGAGGCAATGGAAGGCCGAAGAATTATTGGGGAGAGGTGATAGACAGGATATGACGTAGCTTCAGGTTACCAAGGATGTGACCCTAGGTAGGTGGGTATGGACGACACGTATTAGGGTAGAAGGTTAGTAGGTATTGTAGTGTTGTCTTGCTTAGGGTGGCTGGTGATGCGATGGTATTAGTTGTGTTATTGTAGTTCTTGTTTTTTATTTTTATCATTGTTTATTATTGTTTTTTTACTATTCTACCCTAGTAGAACTTTGCACTGATTCCTTGTAATTTGCTATATTCTCTTCATTGTCTCCTTCTTTGTACCAGAATTTGTTGCATTTGAGCCCAAGGTCTTCGAAAGTAGTCTATCTACCTGTGGTGGTAAGGTCTGCATACAATGTACCTTCCCAGACCTCAGTTGTGAGATTTCAGTAGATATGTGGTTGTTTACCAAATATAGTGGAGGTTGTTATGCATTATTCATATTTTAAGAGATTGATTTGTTATGTTAAACTTTATGAGAAACCTGATTTTAGCTAGGTTGAGTTTTTTATGTTTTCTCCTGTCTGTTTTCATCTTGGATGGCGGGGTTGGCGTGCGTATTCTTGGCTTGTTTCCTCTTCCTGGATGCAATGTGTACTGTGTGTGTGTGGGGATGCTCCATTAGGTTGCACTAACAACAATTATGCATCAAGAGAGAAGTGCAAAAAATGTGGACAACCAAAGGAGGTAGCAGCAATGCCAGCAATTGCAATCCCTGGAGCATCTCTCCCATCTCATCCAAATTATTTTGCCAGGACACAAGGAGGTATGGAACAAAGGTTGAAAATTGGGTTCTTAGGACATGGAGCTCTCCAACAACTTCCCTTGAGCTCTAACTGGTCTCTAGGGGAGGCTGGTCAATACCAAAGCCAGCCTGCTGATCGGTATAGACTGCTGCAAACTCCTGGAGTTCCATATGCAAGCCAAACGAATCAGCTGCTTCCAGTTCCAAATGGATGGCGTAATGGTGACTGGCTCTGCAGTTGTGGCTTTCACAACTACTCTTCTCGAGCTCAGGTATCTGCAAATAGAACATTAAATACTTCAAATGTATCAAAAAGCATTTTTAATTGGTGGTTTTCATGTGGATGCACATCTTCTCTTGTAGTGCAAAAAATGCAATGCTTCTGCACCTCCAGCTTCATCGTCTTCTCTTGCCACTACCCCTATTACAGGTTTGCACATCATAAATCTTTCATTGGTTTTCCGTTAAATTAATGAGTATAGATCACAAGCTTATACTTTATGGAAAAGAAGTATATATATCAGAATGCTTATGAAGTCACTGTCCTTGTTTTAATTTTTTGTTGTTACCCTCCACCTTAGCTCCCCACTTTGTGCTATCTTGGTTACTCAAACCCGCAACCTCAGGGTTGGAGGTGGAGGGTGCTTACACTTGAGCAGCCCTTGCTTCTCACAGTCACTGTCCTTGCAGAGCTCTTTTTAACTATTTCTACTTTATAGCTGACTAGTTTTCACAGTTTCATTTTAGTTCCTGCCAAACCATTGGAACCTATACATACAGATATTGAGCAATGGCTTCCAATTAATTTTACTTGTGTTGGGAGGAAAAACTGATGTGAACATTTGGACATGTTGATGTTTCTGAGCTGAATCTTTATTTAAAAATAATTTTTTTTTTCTGTAACATAGTGGGAAGATCAAAGGGAAGCCGTAAGTTATGTTGCTTGGACTTGCTATTTTCTGGCTTTGGTATCTGTTATCATCTGCTGTTTATTATGCTTGGGTAGGTGATCTCAGTATTTTGCTGTGGTACTTTTCCTTACTTGTATGCTCAGCACTGGTTTCCTATTAGTTGTCGTGTTTCCTTTGCTGTTGTTTCTCCTTTCCATTATGTTTTTGATTTGCTTAACTTGAGCCAAGGGTCTTTCGTTTGCAAATTCTCTACCTCCGCGAGATAGAGGCAAGGTTTGCATACACTTTTCCTTACCCAGACCTCACTTTGTGGGATTTCACTGTGTATGTTGTTGCTCTTCGGCTAAGAAAATTGTGTCTGTCTTTTTACCTGCACATGTTTGCTTTTAGTCCAGTAATCTGTGCGTGTAACTGAACTAGTGTGATCTCTCCTGTCTTCCCTCGTACAATGAAGCTCTTGGAACAAAGCGATTAGCATCTGAGGAACTTGTTCATGATTGGGACAACAAGAGGCTGAATGCAGGACATGTAAGGAACCATCTTCTGGTATTGATATCGATAAATTGATGTTATGGATTGTTTGGTTGACATTCTTACATTTTTTATTTGAACTTTTAGACATTTGGGTATCAACAAGGCTATCCAGGAGCAGAATGGATGGGGGATTCAGGGGGAAATCAACTAACTGCAATCCCAACGATCTTCCTTAATGAAAATTCAATGGTGCTTCCTTTGCAAGCCAACATGCAGATTCCTCGTGTACCAGCAGCACCTACACTCCTTGGTAAAGGGTAAGATTTTATTATCTACTTATGCTTGTGGGTTATTTAGACTGACTAGTGGAGGCCGCAGATGATACTCACATTTGTACTTCAGACTGACGTAGCTCTGGGATAATTTATTTTGGTAAATAGTAGTGCAACAATCACAGGATAATTTGTTCCTAAACACCACCAAATTAAAAGGCCAGACGACAAGCCATCATCGAGAGTTTTTTGTTCCAATAGGAACAATTACATATTCTAATTGTAAAAAAGGATGAATAGGTTGTGAGGCTTATATGGCATCTTTACTAGGAGCAAGAAAGAGAAAAATGGACAAGCTCCAACTCGAATCCAGAATTGCGAATGATGGGCAAAAGATAAAGATAAGGTTAAAGTTACCAATTCAAAAAATAAATAAAGATAAATTTATGCTAGTGGGCTGAGTTACCTAATACATGTGTTCTTCCCATCTGTTTAAGCTTTGTAGAATAGATTTATTCATTACCTGTGCTAATGGGAGTTAGCAGGTACCAGGTGGAATTTGTCAAGGTGGAAGTAATACCCGGAGTCGGGACACCACTGTCTTGAAAAAAAATAAAAACATCTGAAGTTTGATGTGATTTGAGGGTATTATCAGTTTGTTTGTTTCCATTTCTTTTTCCTCCTTTTAGCTGAAAATTCTTTTATTTATCCAGTCACTGCATTGAAAGACAACTGATACAAGGCTTCTAGCAACCTAGCAGGGCTTGTTATACGTTATTATTAAGGGATCTTCGTGCCCGTTAAAAATATATCAATCTTTTGTTTTCACAATTTCATCTAATCTGTTCAGATCTGTATTATCACGATGCAACTGACAAAACCAACTGCAAACTGATAATGCAAGATGACTAGCTCCAGACGAAACAATCATGTTCTACATCTAAGTATAGCGCTAGAGACCATTCTTTACGCTCATTTTTCAGATTGTGTTGTTGCATGTTTTTATCAGGGCAAAGCAATGGCGTGATGGGGACTGGATGTGCACTAATTGCAGTAATCATAATTACGCTTCTCGATCAAATTGTAATAGGTATGCTCCAAACTTGATTAATTAATTGTCAATTTGTTCATAATTTTCTTTTCAAAAAGGAGAAATCTCCGAGGGTCAGTGGTGCCCCTCAATGGAAAATGGGCTTGGTCCTCTACCTGTCTCCATTTAACTACTAGGTTTGAGCCGATGATGTATAGGCACACTCACATCACGCGTTGCACTCTTACCACTAAGTTATAGTCTTGGGGGCTGCTTTATTCATAATTCTTTGAACCGGTAGTGAGCAAATGCTGGTAAACCTCAGATTATCTTAACTTGACTTCGATTACTCCAGTGATGTTGTAGTTTCTGTTCTTTAAGGAGGTGCTAGCAATTATTTTTAAAATTTCATTTGGACATTTCATATTGCCTTGTATTCTCATTGTGATGATGGTCTTCTCAATCACAATTTTTTTTTTAATAAAAAATAAAAGGTTTTTCGATCACATGTAAAGTATTTAATGTTCAAAAAGATTCACCCTCCGGAAGAACAGAGGGAGGGAAGCGGTGTTGGCTTAACTGCATCACCTGAGATATGTAGGCCGAGAGACAAATATGGAACTGAGAAAACTTGATGAAGAATATCTATTTTTCTTTCAATCTTGATCCCCAACAATCCATTTTCAAAACATATGTTATTTTTTTTTAACTTAGTTACTTGGTTTTCAAAACATATAATTGTGTCTTGACATCTAGGACTTTTGCTTGTACAGGTGCAAAAGTGAGAGAGACGTACCAACTCAACCTGTTACTGTTGCATAGAATTTGAGTTATAACCAACTTGAATTTGTTGTAGCTTTACAAGATACATTGGTATCCTCCTTTAAACTTTTTATCATGTTGTGTGTAGTTTTAGCAGATATGGTGAACATCGAATGAGGTATATTAGTAGATATGGTGTAAATTTGTTGTTTTACCAGTTTTGCTTCAGGTGACCGAGGTACTCAAGAGAATAGTATCAGTATGTTCTCTATTTTCTCATTGAACTGTTTCTTCAAATACTCTTAGACTGATATTGCAATCTGTATCAACTTGAGTCATCTGATATATTTATATTGAATCGTCTGTATTCCTGGTGAAAACGAACATGAGATGCAATCGTTTCCTCTCTCTGTCTCTCCAGTCTGATGTATCTGAAAATGATAGTCTCTTCAAGTATTTGCCTGAGGATATCATCAAATTTGATACACAACAAATGAACAAGATTATGTTGATCATCTTCTCAATTTCACACATATATACATCAACAACATACCCCACTTGTGTAATTGCACTAGGTATGTTGTTGTTGTATACATCTTAAATGCGTACAATTTTGCATATTTAAAGAATATTGAACTTACAGGCACTCTTTGTCTTGATTATAAAAAAATGAGCCAACATACTCCCTAATAAACAGAACTTAGAGTAACAACCAATTATTCAATGGTAAATATCTTTTCTTGAGACCTCTACCATTATCCTTATACTAAATTCAAACTTAACATGGCTTTTATGGGTTTCTTTCTTGGTTTCCGACTTGGTATCTGGTATCTGTATTGAGATCTGACTATACTTGAATTTTTGATGGGAAGTCCCTCAATGGGGGTAAAGCTCTCCTTTAGAAAGATGACTCCATATCCAGGGCTCGAACTGTTTTTACGAATATCAGTGTTCTTGATTTCCCTTCTTCTTGGAAAATAATCCACTAATCAAAGGGATTAAAGGCCTCATTTTCCTTTTCATTTTCTTCTTAAGTTGTGAAGGACTAGTTTCCATTTCCTTATTTACATGATCTTTGTTGACAATGATCCTAGTGAGTAAAGGTGTACTAGCAAATTTAACAGACCTCTTCGTCTTGAACTCTATTTCATTGTCATCTTCCTCTTGAAACCGTGTTCTGGCTTCAACACTGGATGACGGATTCTCGATGAATTTGAGCTCTTCATCAGTCTCAGGATTATCCAGCGCTAACGGTACTTTCTGCTTCTGTTCTCTTGTCTTCAATTGCTGTATCTCTCTTTTTGTTAGTTCTAGCTCTTCTTTTAAAGATTGAAGGCAATGTGCCATGTATGTTCCTTCTTCTTTACTTTTCTGGAGGTTTTGCTTTGTTTCTTCAAGCTCAACTGTCACTGGTGATTCAAGTTTAGACTGGTTCTGTTCACCACTTGCCTTGCTCTGCACCTAAGAGAGTTGAGATAATTAAGCTTCATGCATATACATTAGAGTTGGGGGCTTAAATAGTTGTGTTTAGAGTAACAAAACTAGTCGATGAAAATAATGACCCGAACATCCATTAGCTAAAGTTGGGTTATGGCCTGTTTCCAAAGCCTATTTCAGCCTAAGCAATGACCTGTTATTTTATTAACACAACTTATTTTGATCCGTCTAAATTCAGTTTTTTTGACACTTTTAGTTGTTCCCTTAACTTATATTTCTATCTTGTTTTCAATTTCATTAGCATTATTGTTTTCATCTATGTTGCCCTGTGTAGCTTCTTTCGTACAATAACTGCAACTGCGTCCCCAATCATTAGCAAGTTGGGGTCGACTATATGAATCTATCGACTTTCATATGGTTAATTCAAAATGAAGTGTAAGTCAAAAGTTGAAGAAAAAGAACCTCTTTGAGTTGCTTGGCATAAATTTCTCCAGCCAAAAATTTCTCTCCAAATAACATGACTGCCTCCTTCACTGACCCAAATGGCTGCCTCGTATCGATCTCTACTCGTCCCCGCACCACCAGCCCTCCTCTTTCCATTTTATACTCAGTCAGAACTCAATATGCAGGAAAAAAAAAGATTTTGAAATCTGGTGTTTGTTATTTGGTTGAGTTTTGTGTGTATATATATTGCATGAAGAACTAAGGATAAAAAGGGACCATATTGTTTGTTTCAAAATTGGTAGAATTATTGCTTTTAGTTATCACCTAATTAGAATGTTTTAAAAAAGATCATTTAAGATAGTGTGGGTGGAGAGTTTCATATCTTGGCTTTCACTTCACTAGAATTATATCATATGTTTGTTAATTGATGTTGATATTGGCTTCTTTGTTAGTTGCCCCATCACATTCCAAATGCCTAATAATTAAACATTGTTGGAACAAATACTTCATTATACGAAACAAAAGAAATTCATATCTATTAAAAAAAAAGTAGATTTTTCGCGGCTTAATTGTATACGTCAGTCATGTATGTTCTCAAACGTCTATTTGGTAGTTAAGTTAATAATATAAAATATCTATTAGTCTAGATTGGAAAAAGAATGTTTTACGGCTTATATAATTAAAAAGAGGTGATATATTTTAAGTTGTTACTTTATCCAACATAATTAGCATTTCAGAATAAACTTGAAGTTTTCTTAAAATTTGACTCAAAAATATCTCATAAAAGATTTTTTTTGGTTCAAATATTTAATTAAAATGAGTTATAATTTAAAAATTGATATGAAATTTAAGAGATTGTAAATGTATTGAGGAACTTATTTTCTATTGGCATGGGGCAATGAAAGTTGTGGTTCATAATGACCAAAGCCCAAAAAAAATTGATAAAAAGGTGACCACAGTGTATTGCCCCCTTTTTGGGTGTTTTAAGGAGGAAAATATTTTTCACAAAAAGTATTTTTGTAGATTTTTTTTAATATAAAATGTCAATTGTGGAATATCTTTTACTAGATAATTTAATATTCTTAAAAAGTTTTTTTTCCAAAAAATATAATTGATGAGAAAATCAAAAAAATGAACACGTACATCTTATTAGAGCCGTCAAAATTGATTAAGATTTAATCAATGGGGCCCATAAAAGCCCTTGGCCTTGAGGCTTGATCGAGGCGGGCCGGGTTCGGCCCATGGGTCAAATATTTTAATAGGGTAACTTATAGTAATCTAACTAGTATATAATTTAATTGCTTAAATACACACTATGTTTTAATATTATGAATCTTATCAGATTTTGGTATGTCCAAATACATATATCTCGAAATATATGGATTCAAAATTAGGCTAATATGTTATTGGTGTACTCTATCAAAGTAGATTCACATGTATCTAGGATAAATAGACAATATCTCGCACCCTCGCCTCCCTCAACTCTTTCTTACCACTTACTTATCTTCACTTGTGTTTCTGGTATATGAGATACATGCTAATTACACTACACTCTTTGCTAGTGCTGTTAAAATAAGACCATTATTTGTTATATTTGATTTGAAAATCTTCTCATTTTCTTAATGTTATAGAATTATAAGTTTAAAAAGAAAAAAAATAAAAATAAAGAAGGGTTAGCCCGCTCCAGCCTCGGCCCTTCAAGGGTTGGGTTGGGTTGAGCATATTCAGGCCCTTCCGAATGAAGGGCTAGCCCGCCCTAGCCCTTCAAATTCCATGGTCCGCAAGGCTTGGGTTGGGTGGAGCTGAGCCGGCTCTTTTTGAGAGCCCTACTTTTTATATTTCCTCTATTCATTTTTGTTTGTCACAGGTTGACTTGGCATATTCATTAGAAAAATAATTATTGATATATGTATTTTGTCAAGTTATCTCCTATTAAAGGTCTTGAAAAATAAATATTTAATATTGAGAGTAAAACATTAATTAAATTATTTCTTTTATTGACATATCAAAAATTATTTTAAAAAATAAAAATTTATTTAGAAATAGATGATAAGTAAAAGTGGACGGAACGATAGTAATGAACTAAAACTAAAGTGGGAGACTTCTATTTCAAGAGTTGACCCCATCTTCTATATTATATTACTAAAAGCTAGTGGGGAGTACTTACTATGAATTATTGCTACTAGACAAATAATTGGTTAGTTCATCATAATCTTTAGATAGTGATATTTGTAAGGCGAATTCATAACATAAATTTAAAATATTTAATTTTTGAGGTTCTTAAATGAACACTTCGTATCACACTTTTAAAATAAAAATGAATTCAAATATAATATTCATTGAAATTTTAGTGGATTTTCATACATCTAATCCTTCTGGAAAAGTAAGACATTCCACCTATTTTGATCAATTCAAGGTGAAAAATGAGGTATTTTTTCCTCGACAGAATAAAATCAAGCTAAAAATTTTTGATTCGAGATAAATTCATGAAGAAGTGATAAGTCTTTAGGTTGTACTTCAGTCTTTAAAAATTGATTAATAAATAAAGATAGATGTACTCCACATATTTTGATCAATTCAAGGTGAAAAATAAGGTTTTTCTCCCTCGACAGAATAAAGGCGTTTTTAATTCGAGATAAATTCACGAGGAAGTGATAACTCTTTAGGTTGTTGTACTTCAGTCTTTATGAATTGATTAATAAATAAAGATAGATGTACTTAATGTCTTGCCCATGAGAGCTCATATATACACCACTAATATACTCAGTGCCATAGTTATATTAAGTTAAAATAAACTCATTGTAATATTACATTTGCCACCTTATGAACTCATCGGTACTCGATATTTACATTAAATTATTTTAATCATTGGTAAGTAGTAATAAATGGAAGGAAAAACAGATAAATCAACCATACATAGTTCAAAGGTAAAATAGTGTACCAAAGATAAAATTCCAACCTTTTTTTTAGGAAAAAAAAATATTATCTTGTGTTTGCACATGGATAAAAAAAAAGTGAACCAAGTGGAAAAGAGAAATGGATGAATATTTAATTTTTATTTTTTGTTTTTGTAAATAAAAGCATTGAATTATTATTTTTTTGCACTTTTCTTTTCTTTTTTTCCATGTGAGGCACACATTTCTTCGGTATTAAATCCATTTTTTAATTTTTGTTATTCCTAAAGTCATGGTTAATAGTCTTAACTTTAGAGTAAATTAGTAATTTTTATAACTAGAACGACAGTTTTTTCTTTTTATAAATTTAATGTTTTTAAAAAATAAAATAATTAGGTTAAATTACACAAGTGAAAAAGTATTTCTTAATTTTTTAAACTAGACAAGTAAAAATGAATATTTGTTTTAGTATAGCAAATAAGTAAACGTAAACAAAGCATGTATCTTTGGATTTAGAAAAATTTCATTAATTTAGATCATTAAAAATTGCCAAAAAATTATTTACTTTGGACGGAAATAACTCCCTAATTATTACCCAAATATTC